AGTCAGTGTGAGGCAAAAGGTGGATGAAACCGTAGATGCTTACCTAAATAGATTTAGGATAATGAAATCACGGTGTGTCACACAAGTGACTGAGAATGAATTATTCGAGTTGGCCGCAAGGGTCTTGATTCTTCCATTAGGAAGAAGTTAGACACCCAATATTTAAGAGATATGGCCCAACTGGCATATAGGGTTTGACAGGTCAAACGTTTGAAGGTCAAAAAGGTCAGGTCGAGTAAGTATCATAAAAAGGAAAAAGTAGCTTACGTTGAGATAGATGAAATTGAAAACTTATTTGACACAGACAGTGACTTTGTCAAAGAAAATAAGGTCAATATGGAAGAGTTAAAGTCAGAACCTCCCTATGTGTGTAAATTATTAAAACCTTCAAATGGGAAGAATCCCATTAAACCAAAAAACGAGAAATTTGTCACAAAAACTTATACGTTTGATGTAACTAACTGTGATTAAATTTTTGATCTCTTAGTTTCTTATGATCAAATAGTAATCTCTAAAGGGTCGAAAACACCTCCATTAGAACAGAGAAAGAAAAAAGGTTTTTGTAAATTTCACAAATTCCTTGATCATAAAACTTATCAATGTATGCATTTCATGGATCTTGTTCAAAATGTGTTAAAGGACGGGAGGCTCAAATTCTCTAAGTAGAAAAAAGCTCAACCAAAGGGGGAAGTTGGTCCTAAAGTTGATGAGGCTCTTCTCGTCAAGCTTGTGGATGTGTTTATGGTCGATATAATTGAGAGCACATAATGGGATGAGCATGGTTATGAAGATCGGATGAATGTGGTATTTCCCAAGGCTAAGGAAGAGCTCGTCGATTTTTTGAATAGATGTAAACTAAAGGATTCTGAGGTTATGTTATGTCTGCACTACATCGCTATCTTTAACAAAGAAGCGACGAAAAAACTAGAAAAAACCAACCCTCGTCAATCAAATAAAGTTGGTCGAAAAGACTATCACAATTAGTTCTTTTTTAATAAGAGGGGGATCCCTCAAAAGACTCAGATGCCTAAGAATTACGTCCCTCCTATTAATGTTCCTACTAAGAAGTGGGTTGGACCTGTAGGGAGGTTAGTTGCTGAAAAAGGAAAGTGGAAGGGGATAGAATTAGGTGGAGGATCCCCCTATCTCGACAACTCTCAAACTTCTAAAAAATATTCTTAAGTTTCTAAAAATAGCATTCGGTGTAGAGGCACCAGAGAAACAAAAAGGTTTCCTTCGAAGCAAGAAGTGAAAGAAAGAATAATAGTGTCCAAGCTATGACTGATGGACAAACGGTAAAGAAAAACGAACTTAAGATCTCTGTTAGATCAGATGAAGAGATGGTGAGTAACGACTTTGACTCAGGGTCGAAGGATAATTTAGATATTATATGTAATATGATACAGTTACAGAAGTAACTGAAGAGGAAGATGGGTCGATCAAAGAAATGCCTACCCATAGGCCTTTATGTTACTATGTTATACATGATGGCTCTGTGAATGAGGAAAAATCCATATTCAAAAGACCTGACATATCCGTGCAAAAACATTTGAAGCCTTTGTATATAAGGGTCAAAGTGGAGGCTTCAAGATTAATAAGGTCCTCATAGATTGTGGAGCCTGTATCAATGTCATGCCACAATCCCTACTTATGAAGATTGACAAATATGACATTGATTTGAAGTCCAATAACATGGTCTTGTTCAATTATGAAGGAAAGAACGGCAGACCTTTCAGGGTTATCTAAGTTAATGTGATTGTAGGAACCACAACTCAAATCACCATGTTTATTGTAATTCCGACTAAAGAGAATTACAATTTTCTACTGGGACGAGAATGGGTACATGGAGTAGAATCTGTGCCATCTTTCATGCACCAAATGATCATAATCTAGAAGCCGGATAGAATCGTGGAGCGCATAGAAGCTGGCCAAAGCTTCTTTCATGCAGAAGTGAATTATGTGGATAAAATAAACTTTGATCGACAATTGGAGAATATTTCTCCATGTGCACCAGCAGGAATTAGCTTCTACCTCAAGGGAGTCGATGTGTACTACTCCGTAAAGCTTCACTCTTTACATGGCTTTACGTGGGAATATGAGATCATTAATGGATACAACAAATGGTCTGGATCAAATGAAGATGATGTCTGAGTCCATTGCTTTGTCTCAGATTTCAGCCTATATGGATGAAAACAAGTTAATAGCAGCTTTAGAAGCCGAATCACAAGGAATGATGGTTCTCAAAGCCATTGAGTTTGAAGTTAATAAGGAAATTGGCTAGAATGGCCAAGAAACAGGTTTAGAAAGTCGCATGCTCGATTGTGTATACAATGACAAGCCTTTTAGGTTTGAGAATAACCTATTAACCTCGACTAAAAAGATGCAAGCTTAAGATCCTTTGAAAGAGATAGATTTGGGAGATGGGTCGACTAAAATGCCAACTTACATAAGTGTCAAGCTCGACCCAACTCTAAAAACAAGAGTAATCGAGATGGTGAATGAGTTTAAAGATTGCTTCGAATGGGATTACCATGAGATGTCGGGACTTAGCCGAGATTTTATGGAGTTGAAACTGTCAATCAAGCCTGACAAGAGGCCTATAAAGCAAACCCCAATAAGATTTGCACCAGAGGTCATGCTTATGGTCAAGGAAGAGATCGAAAGAATGCTAAAAAGTATATTCATAAGACATGTCAGGTATTTCGAATGGTTAGCCAATATTGTTCCGGAAATTAAATGAGTATAAATGAAGTGAAAGTTCATTTAGATCTTCGAGACCGGCTAGACGTGGTGGAGTACGAATGAGTACGAATGTTGAACGTGCAATGTTAGAAGAAGAAGAAGAAGAAGAAGAAGGAGAAGAAGAAGGAGAAGAAGAAGAAGAAGAAGAAGAAGAAGAAGAAGAAGAAGAAGAAGAAGAAGAAGAAGAAAGTCACCTTGAACGAAGTTTTTAATGTTTTTGAAGAAGAACGAAGTTAAAAATCAAAATATCATAGTTGAGTAACCTGAATAACAAAAGTATTGAAAGCTAGTCATAAACCATAAGTAGTCATAAACCCTAAGACAACATGCATAAGAAGAAGAAGAAGAAGAAGAAGAAGAAGAAGAAGATGTTAGACGAAACGGTCAATCAATGAGGGAACAAAAATACACGAATGCGAAAGAAGCAGAAAGTGGGTGTTTCCATGGCTTCTGATGTCGATCATTTACACGGGAATTCATGATGGAAATTAGAGCGGTGTGAAAGAGTGTGTGGAAAGAAGCGGCATAAGAGAAAAATGAAAAAAGAAAGGAAGAGGAACTGCCATAAGAGAGAAGAAAGGGGAGGAGAGGTAAAGATAAGTGCAAAATGGTAGTTTTTTATTACTGCAATTTTAGTTTCATACATCTCATGTCTTTTGAAAAACCCATTCACATGGCAGCTTTTCTATTACTTATTGGGTGTGCATGAATACCGTTTAATATGAACCAATTCATTTTTATGGTTATAGTTTATAAACCAAACCATTTTTATGGTTATGGTTTATAAACCAAATCACTTGTTCTAAACTGGTTTAAAACCGGTTCTAAATGGATTTTGATTTTAACCCAAATTATTTAGTTAAATTTAAATTTAATTTTTTTAAAATTATATTAATTTTTAAATTTAAATACTTAGATTTTAATATATTTTTTCTTTGAAAATAAATATAAAAACAAATTTTAAAAAATCTAAAAATTAAAAATAAAATTGAAAATAAAAAATTTCAGCAAATCATATGGACTTAAAATGATAACTAATATTTATAATACATATATTTGTATATTTCAAAACATCTATCTATTGGTGGAGGATTCTATAATATTCATAATTATTTTTTCATAAAGTTTTAAAGAACTTCGAGATTTATAAATAAAAACTAGAGTCAAATCCAACAAGTCAAATTTTGGTATATTTTTTTGCACATGCCAAATCAAACTCGATGCACTAAGGTCTATATAATTAATTACTGAAAGTTCATATAATTAACTAATAAAAGTCCATATAATTTGTCAAGTATTAGTACACCATTTTAGATAGTTAGAGAATTTGTAAGAATTTTTTTTTTCATTTTGAAATACAAAATTTTGAATCTTTTGGTTTAAAATATAAAATTAATTTATAACGTGTATATGATAAAACATGAAAAGAAACAAAAACATATTAATTTAATAAATAATGAAATTTAGATAAAACCATATGGAAACCGGTTTATATTTGGATAACCAAATTTATTTTTTAGCATTTGATTTAAATTTTTAAAAGTGAAACAATTTGGATAAAAATTTGATTAACAATAACCGATTTTTTTGCACACCCCTAATTACTTAAATCTTAGTTTAATCCATCTCAATGTCTATTGAAAAGATCTTGTTTCCTAAGACAATCCTTTTCAACATGGCATCCAAGTGTTTCAAACAAAAATTTAAAATATATATATATATATATATATATATATATATATATATATATATATATATATATATATATATATATCATCCATAATTACCTATATAAAGTTAACAATCATATTAAAAAAAAAGTCACACCCATTTGAAATGTTGAAGGGGCTATGCATAAGCCAAACGGAAACTAGTCCACAATTTAGCTGCCAAACATGTAAATATTATGAGTTTTGTTGTATACCATTATCGAAACCACAAATATTATGCTTGTATATTGCAAATTAGGACATATATAGACCAAATGAGGGTTAATCAGCCATCAATAACCATATTCAAATATCATTGAGATTAACAACATTGTTCTGAATTGTTTGATCATCAAAGTTGCTCACATAATTTCCTGATTTCCTCTTCCTTTACAAATTACCAGGCAATTTTAATTTACAGGAGAATAATCATCCATTTAATTAAAGTGATCCTGGTTTCTCATTATGTTTTTTCCCACGACTTTGCATTTCATTCAGAAGGATAATCCTCTACTTCACTTTTGTGAACTTATTCGCGAAAACTGGTCATCATACTTTGTCATCATGGAACCACCACCTTGTCTCCTTGGGCGATCGGCCATTTCTGCAGTTCTTTACATAGCGGTCATTATCTTCAGGGCGTTGCTGCAAAAGAAATCAAGTAAGCGTTGTTAAGTCATAATGACCCCAAATTTGGTATGGACCACTAATCCAACTGAATTTCCTGTTAGAATCTTAAATAGTGACCAGTAATGTTTACAATCTTCTGTCAAATTAGTTTTTGTTCAAGTACATATATAGCCAAATATGGTCACTTGGCCAGTTAAAGAATGTATTTGATCTAAAAAAATCAGCATCTTATATAAAAATAGAAGAATAAGGAAACCAAAAGCCTTGCAGCATTAAATTCATACCTTTGCAGGTGAGCTTGAAAGCATAGACAGAATGCTAATGCAGATAGAACTAACAGTCATGGCAGGAGACCATGAATCATATAATATATCTGCATAATTCCAAGCATATAAATGTCAGCTCACTAATAAAAACCAGCACCAAGTCAACCTTTTTTATTTCAAATAATTAGAAAAATAAAATTGGGTAAATATAAAGGTAAGACTAAAATAGATTAGTCTTTTAAAATCACAGATACAGAAAACGACTAAAACAGTTACCTAATATATTAAACTAATACTCCAAACATCTAACTCCAAAAGAGAAAGGTCAGCCATTTGTACATACTTCACAAGTGTGCTCATATTAATTTCCTTCCCAACCCCCTTAACCCCAAAGAGAATGATAAGGAGAAACTATTATCAAGATCCCGAGATGGGTATGAACCAATTGTAGAGATTTGAATGCACTTCTTACCTCAGATATTCCATTCTCCGTTGTTACCCTTCTTCAAATGCATATCATTATAACAAAAAAGAGAGAAATACCAAACCGAAATTTCTACATATAATATAACCAACAAGCATTTGCCTTATAATCAAATGCGAGACAAAAAGAGCAAGTTTGACATTCCATGTAGGATATCTCATAGCCAAACATTGTATCATTCATTTATATTTTTTAAATCATTTTGCAGTACAAGCTCCTAGTCAATTCCTTCCAAGACATATGAGAGGAAAGAGAAATTAAGAGAAGCAACCCAACCCAAATTTAGACCCTAGATGAGAGGGAACCGGTTTGGAGATAATTATTATGATTAAAATATACTAAAGCTGTCAAACTGTAAACCATATTGAGCATTACTTGTTGAATTTATTTTCTGATTCAAGGCCCAAAACATTAATAAAATGATTCAACAATAATAAGCTGTCAAATTGTAAACTATATTGAACACAACAATTAAAAACTTAAATCTTCATGATTCAAGGCCCAAAATATTAATAAAATGATTGAAAGTTTCAAACAATACATAAACTTAAGATACCACAATAGAAAAAGTAAATTTAAATAAATACAAAAACAGTATCATAAGTTAAAGCCACAACTCACAAGTTTTATATTTATAAGTAAATTCAAAGTTGTGATTCTTTACGTGCTCTATTAAATGATAGTTCATCCTAGTATTGTCAAGAGCAGTGAAGATTTCTATAGTAACATTCATCATCCCCTTATGCGCTCTATTAAATGATAGTTCGTCCTAATATTGTCAAGAACAGTGAAGATTTCTATAGTAACATTCATCATCCCCTTATTCTTAAAAGAAGAACCCTAAATAAATGATCCTAAGTGATTGCACTAAGCCTATACTTCAAAAGAGCCAACAGCCCAATGCTAAAGCCACGTTGCATATAGAGCAACGGAATCAATAATCAAACGGGGTACTTTTAGTTCCTTTTCTTTTAATAATTCCTAGCCTCTTAGAATTTTCATTTTTTCTTGTGCTAACTCATACATGTATCACACACCTCAAATCAACCTATGATCCATCAGATGAAATAAATTGCTGGTTTTCCAAATTGTATTGTATTCCAAAGTACTAAAGATTATACAAAACAAGATATACTGGCATTGAAAAGGAAAAGCGCTTAGTAAGAAAGATGAGACCCAAACAAACGTCCTTCTATTACCCAGATATATGCTAAGCTATACCATAGTACTCATATCTATTGCTGATTCACCCTTACCTTCTTAAAAACTACAGTTCTAGCATATTCAAACCAGCATTGTTGTCCCGTTAGCATATTATTTTTAAGGTCTAGGTACTTCTAAAAATAAGCTATATCAAATTTAAAGTAATGTTATGCCATTGTTTTTTTTTTCTACTTAAACAATAAGAATTAAATGACACTGTAATAGCATTAAATATCTTAGAAAGTTAACCAAGTGAAAATATTATTATAACGACTATTAGACGGATTTTTATATGGCAGAGTAGTCAATAGCAGCACTATCCTTCTATAGCAGAAGGAGCGGGATAGCAGAGTAGAGCAGTTCCCATCCCGGAGTGGTTTCTGGCACGCTATCCTTTTTCCCTTTAAAAATCTGAAATTACCCCTTTAAGTTTACAATGTTTTAGGGGTAACTTTTGGTTTTCCAATCAAATTTGAGTTGAGACTCAACCTTAACCTTCCTTCATAGTCGTTTATGCACTTAAAGAGTCGTGTGTGCTTTGATTGATGAATATTTTATGAGTTGAGTTAATTGTTTAATTTTATATTAAATATATGTTTCTAATTATTATCTGTAATATGTCCAAAAAAATGACCAAATAGATCGGTCAACCCGCTATCCCACTATCCCACTCTTGGGGTCGGCCACTCTGCGCTGCTATCCGGGAATGACTAGTCTGTTATAAAGTGGTGTTTAAGGATGACATAGTAATATTCTTTTCAAGTTTTGCTGCTTTGAAGTAACTTAATTTGTGAGCCATCAGAGAAGTTTAACAAAGTAAACAGCCATCGCAAAGGTATCTTATTCTCCATATATTCTTAGTGTGCAATTATAATTTAGATTAACTTGATTTCAAGGAAAATCTAAATCAAATTACAAGAAAAGAATAATCTATCAGCAGAATCAGTCGCAAAGAAAGAATGGATAACCTAAAAGTAAATGCAAACAAACACAAAAGCCATAACCTCGCATCAAAAGACTCTGCCAACACATGAATTAAGAAAAATAAATGGATACAGCACAAACCAACAAAAGAAACAATTATAACATAAGATTAGCCCACAAGACACACATACCTAAACAAATATGTCCATTGCTGTAGATATGAGGATGCAACGGAGCCGGATGCAAGAATATGACCTGCAAAACAATTGCATCAGTTAATTAACACTACAGAAAGGTTAATTGTTGTGTATAATAATAATTAATAATGAAAAAATTAGAACCTGTGGAGCTTCCATAGGGTAATTCTCAGGAAAATCAACCTGAAGCTGGTAGGTCTCATTGGTGTAAAGTGTCCCAGGAGCACCAGTCACTTCAATAACCCACCTTACATTAAAAAAAACGATTTTGAAGGACCCGTTAAACATCATAAACCAAATTAAGGTCAAAAACAGAAAAATTAGGGGGTTTGGATCAGAAATTAGAGGTGAATTAGAAGAATCAGATATACCTTTGGAGATTGTCGGTGACTCTGTGTTTGAAACCGGCAGGTGGATTAACCTGCCACTCGACGAGTTCTTTCTGGAGCCTATTGCAGGCAATCTTACTCAGAATCTGAAAACGGGATCAGAAATAACCATAAACGAATCGAAGAATGAAATCGATGAAAATGGAAAAAGAGGAACGGAATTAACAAAGTTAGGGTTACCTTGCGAGAAGCAGCTGAAGAACCAGTCATGATTATTGCGCGTAGAAAGATGATCTGAGAGAGAGAGAGAGAGAAGTGATGAATGAATAAGTACCCGTGAGCGTGGAAGACGGTTTCTGAAACTTTATAGTACCCACTACCCCACGCTTTCACTGTTTCATTTTTCCCAAAATATTTAATAAGACGTGTACGATGAAATAGTAAATCTAAACTAAATTCTATATTTTGACGGTTTTTTTTTTCTTGGAAAAATTTTAATATTTCAATTTTAATTTTTTTGTATTTTTTGTTATTTTTATGATGAATTTTTTTGTGTTTTAAAAAAATTATATTTGATTTATATTAATTTAAATATAAATTTAATTAAAATATATTGATAGTGCAATATAATTTTATAGTGTCAATTAATCATAATCATTTAATTTTTATTTTAAATATTAATAAAATAATATTAACGGTGATAATACTAAACGTGTATAATAATTAATCTTATTAAATATATTTTATTTTGAGATAGATTAAATTCAAATAATTTTGTTAAATAATTTTATAAGGGGTGGAAGATTAAGAAAATTTACATGAAACTAAAAACAAAATAAAGAATGAAGATGATTTAGGCCCCTTAAAAGGAATTTTTAGTTGGGAGAAGAAAACCCACCTTATATATTCAAGGTGTGTTCTAAAGAAAATTTAATCACTCTTATATTATGGTGAGAACTTTATACCTATATAGTACTATAATCTTTTGAAGGAAAATTTTTAAGTTGATCAAATGTTTTTTTTTTTGGAAGTTAGAATTCGGATCCATCAACGAATAATATGTAATAAATAAGTGTCACGTAGGATTATATAATTTTAATTTGAGAATTAGGTTTTATAATTAATGTTTTTTGAATTTTAAGTTTAAGCATTTTGACCTTGTCAAAAAAAAAAAAGTTTAAGCATTTTGATTTTGAATATATTAGTTATTCAATATGTTAGTTAAACTTTATTTTAATTTAGAAATTAGGTCTTATGATTGTATTGATATTTCTATTTGGATTTCAAATTTAAGGATTTTGATTTTCAATATGTTAGTTAATTTCATTTCAATTTAAAAATTAGATTTTGTGATTTATGTTGTCTTATGTTGTGTTATATATTACAAGATTTTAGATGGAAAACTACGACGATTGTATTGATATTTATTTGAACAATGTTCATTTCACATATAGTGATTCATCTACTGTTAAATATAGTGATGACGAAGATGTTAATTATGTTGTATCCAGTGAACATCAAAGTTTAAATGATGAAGACAATGTTGGTAATGACAATGAGAAGGATTTGGTTTAAGTTGAATGGTCAAATAAACAAGCAATTGTAGGTGATATATAGGCGAGTATTAATTCCATTACTTTTGATGAAATTCGTGTTGTGGAATTTGGAACCGTTAATGAAGTTTATGACTTTTACTATCGGTATAGAAAATGTAAAGGTTTTTCGATTAGGAAAAGACATGTTAGGCGAATAAGGCTCGAAGGTAGTGAAATAATAGTAATGAGGCAGTATATATGCAACAAACATGGATTAAGAGACAAGAAACACTTACTAGGATAGATAGAAAAATATATCATCATCGTCTAACTCATACTAAATGTGTAACTAGGCTCTATGCACTAAAAAGAGAAAAAGGAAAAATATGTAATGTCATGTTTTGAAGAGGCTCATAACCATGAATTAACCTCATCTAAGTTTCTGCATTTACAGCTCCCTTCCTATTTATTGTCAAATTTATGAAGCAAATAAAGCTCAAATTGATGGTCTTCAATCACATGAAATCAGAACTTGTAATATAACGGGATACATGGTTGCTTCAATGGATGGATATTTTGAAGTTGGTTTTACAAAGAAATATATGTACAATTATTTTGTTAAAAAAAATGTGTGTTGTTATTAAAGATGGTGATGTTGTTGCTGCTTTAAATCATCTTAATTGTGAAATCATCTACCGATCATATGCTATATGCATAATATTATATTAATAGTGATGGAAGATTGAAATCATTTTTTAGGCATAAGGAACTATTAGATCAAATTATTTCAGTTTTGGCGATCATCCTCTTAAAAGGTCAAAGCTTCTTTAGGTAACATCCTATAAAAGGCTACCCTCATCTGACATAAATTCATCAGCATAATATCCTCATTAAGGAGAGACACGTTATCAAAATCAGCATCATTAGTAACAACTTCATTGACAGGTTCATACCTATCATGAACATTCTTGTTCATAAGGATAAAAACCTTATTAGCACTGACAGAGTTCTTAAAACATTACAATGTTGTTACTCAAATTATTCTCTATGATCTTCCTTATTATATTGGCAAAAAGAATGTCTTCAACTTCCACATGTAAGTATCCATAGAGAGGGGCATTATCCATCTGATAGAGTTTAAACTTTAGAATACTTGACACTCTTGGACTTAATCTAATGGTTTCAAGAAGAGAAAAAGGATCATAGATACTTCCATCTTCATCAGAAAATACTATAGAGTTTCTTGATTTGACAAAAGCACCTTGCTCAACATTCTCTTTAATATAGACAGACATATCCCTTATAGATTGTGTGCCTGTTGTAATCAATACATACTCTATGTTATTTGTAGCACTGGCCACGAGAAGGTTTTCATTCTTACTTATCACACCTTCATTTAGTGTTTGATCATGGTTGTCCATATCACCATCCTTAGCTATAGTTGTATCAGCCCCAACATCTTCATGATCATCATTTTCCTTATGCCCTTGAGACTTTGTCAACATGTCAGACAGGATGTCTGACACAACCTTCATCCTGACCATTAACCTTCTCTTTAATGACACAATCCTTATGATATAATTCATAATCCTAAGAATGATGTTGAGGCATCTTGTTGGACATCTTGGTTGATTTTTCTTTATTAATCTTGAGACCCTATAAACCCCTAATGTCTTCCTCATACATGACCTTCTTCAAAGGAACTTCTTTACCTTCGTCGATAACACTATATTTGGAATTGTAGAAGTTCATATTCCAATTTTGATCACACATGTCGATCACATTGGTAGATGATCATTTTCTCAATAGCACCTCGTGTCGACTAGGCTTGACCTATTTCCTTAAATCCTTGATTCTTCTCTTTGCTCTATTGCCAGGAGTGACATGAATTGTCTTTTATTTAGACATTGTAAGAACACATATTGTTTCTTAGTAATATCTCTATGTTTTGATGATAACTCTTATGAAATTTTATATTAAAGAATTATATACTCTAAAATTTGTTCATGAATATTTGCTGCAGATAGTTAAAGTATATATACATCCAAGAGCAAATTAATCTGAACATAGAACTATGGAAGGCTCTGAAGAGTCAGAATCATCTTATAGAAGAATCTGAGCGCTGTCTGCAGAAGAATCTGAAGCAGAAGCTACAGAATGATCTGAAGCAGAAGCTACAGAAGAATCTGAAGCAGGAGCTGCAGAAGGATCTGAAGCAGAAGACTCTAATAAGATCTGAAGACTCTGAAGCATTAAAGAACTTTGTATGAGAGTTAAGAAGCTCAGTTTTTCAGAAGACTCTGAGAGTACTACACGCTGCATGTATTGAGGATCTGATTCATAAAACTCTGCTCTGATAGAACTACACGCTAAAGCACACTTGCTGTCTTACTCTGATTCAGCAAAATCTGATGGGAATCCAAGACTCTGATCATGCAAGATCTGATGGTTACCCTGCTGAAAAGAAATAATTATTGAAGAAGAATTCAAAGTAATATCCTTTGATTTATCTCAACGACTCTTTCCTCTTTCATGCTTGACACTAGAACACAGAACAAAAGCATTTCTCTGTGCATTCTACTTCCAGGAAAGGTCATGTGATGTAAAGACAAAAAGGTTCAGGCCTTTTCAGTACACAGCCTCCAATGTCAAGACTTTGTGGATTACTGTGCATATAAAAGCAAGTCTTCATCATCTTCTTCAGTAGTGATCTACTACCAACGAATCTCAAAAAGAAAATCTTACAAGCTCTCATAAAATATTCTTATTGTTGAGTTTATTCTTTTGTTCTTAACATTAAGTGAAAAATCACTGTTGTGATAAAGCTTATTAGAAGCATTCATACACTTGTATCAATCTTACATTTTATTGTAATAGTTCCTTAAGAAGATCCAGTTGGGATCAGTAGTTTTTGAGAAGACTTTGAACTGTTGTTCTTAGTGCTTATTATTGTAATCAGTTGATTAAATAGTGGATTAAGTCCTTGTTTGAGAAAGGCAAATCACTCTAGGTAGGGTGGACTGGAGTAGTTGAGTTCTACGAACCAGGATAAAAATACTTGAGTTTTTACTTCTAAGTTTTTATCTTCATACTTATTCAACCCCCCCTTCTAAGTATTTTCTCATCTTCAGTTGGCATCAGAGCTCCGGTTCTGTGTGTACTACCACTTCACAGTGACAGAAAAGATCCAGTGAGAAAAACTTTGATACTTATATTTGGTTTTTTATAATGGCTGATGTTTCAACATCTAACAAGTATGAAGAAAGAGACAGAATCAGTACTAAACCCCCTATGTTTGATGGGGAGAAATTTGATTATTGGAAAGACAGGATTGAAAGTTTTTTCCTTGGTTATGATGCTGATTTATGGGATTTGGTCATAGATGGATATGTTCATCCCATTGATGGGAATGGCAAGAAAGTAGATAGAAAATCTATGACAGAAGCCCAAAAGAAGGAATTTAGAAATCACCACAAGGCTAGAACAATATTGTTAAATGCAATATCTCACACTGAGTATGAAAAGATCACAAATAGAGAAACTGCATTTGACATGTTTGAGTCCTTGAAAATGACTCATGAGGGAAACTCTCAAGTCAAGGAAACAAAGGCTCTGGCTCTAATTCAGAAGTATGAAGCTTTCAAGATGGAAGAAGTTGGATCTGTTGAAGCCATGTTCTCCAGATTTCAAATACTTACAGCTGGACTAAAGGTTCTGGATAAAGGTTACTCTACT